ATAATGTATGTTGAATTATTTTTTTGCCGAATTCATATATATGAGTTGGTTGAACAGGTGTATATTATATTGGACAGGTTGGTTGATTGAATAGGTTTATATTATTATTATTTTTTTTAACCAAAAACGTATTCGCGTAATACGTTTTATAAAGAATTTTTTTTAACTTAAAACGTATTTTGAAAATACGTTTAATATTTCCAAAAAATTAAAATTAAAAAAGAAAATATTTTTTAAAATTCTAAAATAAATTTTAACAAAAAAACGTATTCACATCATACGTTTTAAGGGAAAACGTATTCTGGTTATACGTTTATAATGAAAAACGTATTTCCTTAATACGTTTTTGTTTATGTTAATTAAAATTAATTATTTTAATTACGTTCTTTTAGTAAAACGTATTCGGGAAATACGTTCTAAATGAAAAAACGTATTCTTGAAATACGGTTTTATATAAAAAAAACATATTCCCCGAATACGTGTGTTTGAATTTTTTCCACACATTTTTTTTTTATTTTTTGTCCACTTTTTTTTTTTTTTAAATAAATAATAGATTCCACATGGGGACTCAGTGAGTAGTGCCCCACATGCTTTTCACAACTGATTTGAACTTACATACACACACACCCACATACATGTGTATGAAATCAACAGTGAAAAAACAAGTGAAGATGATAACCCTACAGGCTACATATATATGTAAACCTCTGTTTGCACGAATTTTTCCACCATTATTCGTCTCTACTCTAGGCCTCCTTATTGGGGGCAATGTAAATTTACACACAATTACCTCATCTAGTTAACACTAATTGTCACCATCTTTCTAGTCTTCGCTGTGCACCCACTAGGATTCCCTTTTGCCGAGGTACGCTAATCTTCAACTTCATCTTCTGTTTTCCTTATTATCTGCAAAAATTGGCCCAGTCTCCTGTTCAATCCCAGACGAGCTTTTGCTGTTGTGGGTGTTTTTAGTGTTTTTCAAGCTCCCGTGACTATGTTGATGGCTTTTATTCTGCAAATACAGTCAACCCTTTTCTCAGTTTGAGTTCCTCGGGATTTATATAAGTCACTGCACGCAGTTTCCTGTCCTTATGCAGCTGATGTTTTTATTTGGCTTATTAATTTGGAATCAAGTTTGGATTTTGGGTGAAAAAGATCGAACCCCATTAAAGGAAAAACGAAAATGGACACAAGTTTCCAAGGATTCTTGAATCCTTCATCCCAGCTTCAAATGGGGGTTCAATCCGGCGGGCCGCCGGCACTGGAATTCGATTTTCCGATCATCGACGAATTTGGGATTCACCTGCTCCCAAACACGTCCTTACCCACCTCACTCTCTGCAATCGACCAAGACTGCGACTTTTCCAACGGCCCTTTGCTTAGATACATAAACGAGATGCTAATGGAGGAGGATATGGAAGACCAAACCCACATGCTCCAAGAATCCCTCGATTTTCAGGCCAAAGAGAAGTCCTTTTACGAGGCCATCGGCAAACGGTACCCGCCCTCTCCCGGACCCGACCCGACTCGTTGTCTCGAGAGCGCGGATTACGAGTCTAGCAACAACCCGTATTCAAACCCGTACAGCTCGTCTTCTAGTAGCAGCGATTGTGGTGGGTACTTGATCGACATAGTCAATTCGGGCCGGGTTAATGGGCGCAGCCCGGTTATTGG